TATATATGAGTTCAAACTTTTATAAAATATAATCATTTCATTTGTCTCGGTTTATATGACATATTATATATATAGTTTACTTACCTATTTCCGAAGCGAAAATGAAGGAGTAGAATAAGGAGCTGCTCTTGAGGAGTTATTTTTCCTCGTCGTAAATTTGGCTGCAAATAATTCAGCCATCTTAGTCTACAACTCTTACCGCTGCGCTTCAACCCTATATTGATATATATACACGTAATTATTTTTTGATGAAAGAAACAAAATGATATATATATATATTGTATACATACTTCATTTGCATGCAATATGTAGGAAATGATAATATATGTTTAAATTAAATTAGATTTGATGATCAATCACCTACACTATGATATGGCATCAGCAGGCTCATGATGATCAAATTAAAAAGAAAATGAAGAGCCATACCAACACATGAAAGACGTATTTGATGAAATATATAATATGATTAAGTAAATAAATGTGTGATCTCTCAGCATGACATAATACCAGCAACGTGAGCGAGTGAATTCCAGCGTCCTTGTCCAAATAGGGAGATGGAATGGATGAGTTTAGAGTCTTCATCAGGACTCCAAGGTCCTTTCTTCATCTCCATTGATACTTGTTCCATTCTCAAGACTCGAATATTGTTATGGATCGTTGTTTCAATTAGCTAAGGGACTATATATAAGTACATAGAAAGTGTCCTTGGCCATGAAAGTCTTTTTTAATTGGTTTGAGAGGTAGTGATTTTAAAAGTTTGAGATAAGGTTGCATAAAAAGAGAGGATTGTGTACGTTCGTTAGTACTACTACGTACTTGCTAGTAGACGTGAATATAACGAAATGTTTTGGAAGAATAAAAAACGAATAATCTTTGTCAAGTTCAAGAATATTTTCAAACCGTCTCTCTTTTAACTTATTTTGTATATTTTGTGATTGTAGGCATGTCATACAAGTTTTCTACATATTATAGAACTTGTAACTTGAGAAAACATATGCATGACCAATGTGTATATTGATAGAGGACTTTTGTTTAGGTCTTAGGGCAATAAATAAGACTCATAAAATTAAAATAGTAAGTATGCTCTAATTTGAATTCAAGTGTGAAATTATCCCTAATTAATTTGAATCCAAATTTGTTTTTTGCAAAAATATTTATTTATTTTATTATTATGAGAATTACACGACAAATTGTGAGAAAGAGTATATATATATATATATATATATATATATTGACTTCATGTTTAAAGTATATATATATATATATATATATATATATATATATATATATATATATATATATATATATATATATATATATATATATATATATATATATATATATATATATATATATATATATATATATATATATATATATATATATATATATATATATATATATATATATATATATATATATATATATATATATATATATATATATATATATATATATATATATATATATATATATATATATATATATATATATATATATATATATATATATATATATATATATATATATATATATATATATATATATATATATATATATATATATATATATATATATATATATATATATATATATATATATATATATATATATATATATATATATATATATATATATATATATATATATATATATATATATATATATATATATATATATATATATATATATATATATATATATATATATATATATATATATATATATATATATATATATATATATATATATATATATATATATATATATATATATATATATATATATATATATTGACTTCATGTTTAAAGTATATATATATATCTATATATATATATATTGACTTCCTGTTTAAAGTTTGTAGGTATCGGATATGACAGAAAGATAATGGAAAAAGAGCGTCAGTATTTGATTCGAGATTTTGTAGTATTATGTTAAAGGAATTAGGAATTTGTTTAATTTGGCAGTGAATGATAAAGTCAAACCGCGTTTACCGCGCTAAGCTCAATCTAGAAGGATGCCAATTAATGCCTTTATTCCCTTACCACTCCAAAATCACCATAGACAACGAAGGTTTAAATCTAATCCCGCACTTTTTTAACCTATTGACTTTAAATTTTGAATCCAGACAACGTTTTAAGTATTATAAATAGAGTTGCATATCAATCAGTTCGGTTCGATTTTAAAGTTTATCAGTTTAACTTATGAGTTATTGATTTATAAACATGTTAAAATCGTTATAGAACCATTAAATTATTGATTTCGATTACTATGAACCAATAATATTTGAAAAATTATCATTAAAAGTCACTTAGAAACAAGATGACAAACCAAATAAACCATGCATATGAGTTGATAGATTGCATCTTGAGCAAAACTGCAAAAACAAACACTGACACATTCTAAAATAACTGTGAGTTTGAGACAACTAGAAATTAAAGGATGAAACACTTTATATACCAAATGATATAAATATAATTTAGTTTACTATCGTGTTATCGATTAATCCGTTAAGAAAAAACTTCAAACCATTAAGAACCGATAACCCAATAATAAAAAAAAATTAAAATTATTACTAAAATCACTAAATCAACCCATTATCGATAAATCATAAAAATTCAAAATTCTAAATCCGGACATGTGTTTATTCGTACTAGCAAATCTATGGTGTACTATATGTTTGAATTCGAAGATTCTTAATCCACCCAAAAAAAAAAAAGAAAAAAAAAAAGAGGATCCTTCATTGACAAGATCAATTGCTGCTGAGAAGGCCAGCAGGATTATTGCGGTAACACAATGCTTTCAAAATTCCAACAAATGGTGGGTTTGGGGGAGAATCAAATGACCAGAGGTGAAAGTTTAACTTATTGATTATCAGTTTGTAATATGCTAAATCGTTACAGAACCATTAGGATATTAAGATATTGACTTATCATCAGATTTATTGATCTTTATTGGTTCGGTTATTAATTTAATCGTTAAGATTTGATAAAAAAAAATATCATTAAAAATCACTTAGAAACAAGGTGACAAGCCAAATGAACTATGCACATGAATTGATAGATTGCATCTTGTTCAAAACTGCAAAAGCAAACACTAATACAATGTAGAATAATCGAGAGTTTGAAACAACTAGAAATATAAGTATATGAAACTAAGCTCTAAGTCAAGTACTTTATATACTAAATGATATAAATATACTATCGTGTTATCGATTTTATCGATCCGTTAAAAAAAACTTCAAACCATTAAGAACCAATAACCCGATAATAATAATAAAATTATTACTAAAATCACTAAATCAATAACCTATTATTGATAAATCATAAAATTCTAAATTCTAAATCCGACATCTGTTTATCCGTACTAGAAAATCTGTGGTGTACTATATGTTTGAATTCAAAGATTCTTAATCCACACAATGCTTTCAAAATTCCAGCAAATGGTGGGTTTGGCGGAGAATCAAATGACCAGAGATGAAACAAATACAACTATTTTCTACTAGGGGTGTACATGACTGGGTTGGTTCGGGTTTTTCAAATATCAAACCAAACCATTTGTGTCAGATTTTTAAATCTATAAATCAAATCAAACCAATAAAACTCGGGTTTTTCAGATTTTTTGGATTTTCGGGTTTTTTCGGGGTTTTCCGGTAAAGTATTCATACAACCATATAATTTACTAGTACTTCAAATATTTCTTTAGTCCTACCAAAATACAACTATCTAAGGTGTTTCTTAAGAAAATAACACAAAATATGATATGAGTAATGACACTAAAATATCCAACAAAATAATAATAATAATGAAATCACGCAAAACAATTATTGCAAATTAACAAGTCATAATGAAAATGATCATAATTTTAAAGTACTAAATCATACTAAAATAAGTTTAATAAGTATTAGCTATATGACTAAATATTAAAGGAAATTAAATTAGATTATGTATTTGAATTGTCTAAACCAATGTAAAACCAAAGAACAAATATTCAATAATATTGTCATTCTTAGTGTTGAATTGATTTTCATGTTGCATTAATATTAATTTGATTTTGATTTAAGCTTTATTATAATTACCAACATCTGTGGACTATAACCTTTATTAAACCATTTAGAATTCCAAGTTTCAAACTTGGATCATCACAATTCACTTAGCACATTCTCCATATGCAACAATAGAGTAGCCTGCACAGGCATCTAAAAGACAAACAGTTGAAAACGTAAAATGAACATCAACTTAAGCAATTTCAAAGCCTTCATACAGTGTCTCCATATTGCAGATACAGGAGAAGGGCCAACCCAAAAAAAAAACCTTCAAATAAATTCACTCCAAACTAAACAGGAACATAAGAGATGGTGAAAAAAGTTTTTATTGTAGCACAATTTTCTCAGCAATGCAGTGCTAGAAGCTAAAAACTACTGGCAAAGGAGCCAGGACCAAAAAAATCCAGGATGTGCATTCTCAGAGAAGTATGGCAAACATCTTGATAACAGCTTCATTCTAGAGTGGGCAATTTCTAAATACAACAAGCTTCAGGTTCAGGCAATATTGACCGACAGCTTTGAGAGACTCATTCCCAATGTTTGAACAAGAATCCATTGTTATAGAGGTCATTTTGGGGCAGTTCACCGCAATTTCGAGTAAAGACTTGTCAGTAATTGTTGGGCATTGGAAAAGATCAAGCTTCTCTAACAGATGACACTCATGAGCAACCTCAGATAAGCCTTCATCACCAACAGAAGACAAATCCCATAGGAAAAGATGTTTGAGAGTAGGGCAACCTCGAGCGATAGCGTTGAGACCAGTATCAGTCACACCACGACAAAGGTTGTCTCCCTAGATAGATAGCTTTACTAAGCCTCCAAGGTTTGCAGTTCCAATGGCAATAGCAGCAAGTCTGACATCTGTGGCTTCCCTGCCAGCAAGGGACCTGGCAAGATATCCCTCACCTTCTACACCAGTAGATTCTGCAATCTCACCAATTTTAACTTGGGTACGTTAAGTAGATTCCTCTTCAGCATTTGAAGGCAGATTGGGCTTGAAGGCAAATGCTTCATCCCTGCGGATGCTGCTTAAAAGCATAAGCCAGCGCTTGGAAACACAACCACAAGCACTTCTCTCTTGGCCACTGGAAAGACGTTTGAATACCTCAACGAGGCATTCATCAAGAAGGATTTCATTGGACGACTGCTTCTCCTGCTCGAAATTTTCAACAGCGGTACTGACACAAATCCTCTTCCAAGAAGGAAAATATACATTCCCATTTTGCCGATGTGATAAAGACAGGGCGGATTGTTTTGGACTTGGCTATGAACCTTGGATGAAAGCACCATTTCCTGAAAATCAGAAGATTTAAAACATCAGACAAAGAGCAGAATACAACTTCCTAAATTTTGACTCTCATCTCATCTCTTCTCTATAGATTTGTTGGTTATGGAATATTGCTTAGTTTAATTAGCTTAGTTCATTGTAGTTATTTTTGCTTAGTTTAATTAGCGGAAGAACAAGTGGAGAGGAGGCTAAAATGGATTGTGACATTGAGATGGCATGCCATGTAATATTTATCTCAATCAATGGTTGTGCATTCTTCATAATAAGCACCAATTGCATTAACCTTCACATATATTGGGGGGGGGGGGGGGTTGT